GGGGCAGGTTATATAATAGGTTAAATTACAGGTTAGTGAGGGGCAGGTTAAATACAGGTTAAATTACAGGTTAGTGAGGGGCAGGTTATATAATAGGTTAAATTACAGGTTAGTGAAGGGCAGGTTAAATACAGGTTAAATTACAGGTTAGTGAGGGGCAGGTTATATAATAGGTTAAATTACAGGTTAGTGAGGGGCAGGTTAAATACAGGTTAAATTACAGGTTAGTGAGGGGCAGGTTATATAATAGGTTAAATTACAGGTTAGTGAAGGGCAGGTTAATTACAGGTTAAATTACAGGTTAGTGAGGGGCAGGTTTAATTACAGGTTAGTGAGGGGCAGGTTAATTACAGGTTAGTGAGGGGCAGGTTAATTACAGGTTAGTGAGGGGCAGGTTAATTACAGGTTAGTGAGGGACAGGTTAATTAACAGGTTATGCTAACAGCTCCAAAATGCTGTCGGCCTGCTTGCGGTTGGAGCGCGGACCGGATACGTGCCCAAAATGCTCCCCACTCCCTTCCTCCCCCAGAATAGCAGCATTCCCCCGGCATTTACCCCCTGATTCTGGAGTTTCCCCATAATCCTTGGGTGTAATGTGTCCCCGTTTCTACCTGAAAATGATCCCCAATTTTGCCCGCCTCTCTTCCCAAATGTTTCCCCGTCCCCCGAAAGGGGGACCCGAACCCCATGTTTTTGGGTGCTGCCAGCCTGCGGCTCCGAGGGGAACCCGGGTCCTACTTGGATGTGTGACATATGCAATAGACAAATCATAAAACGCCAAATAGACATAAATCAATGCAATAGGCAAAAATGACAATGCAAAAAAGACAATGTAATAGACAAATCACGGAACGCAAAGACTCTGTTGTCTGTAATAGTCTTGCCGGGGTCCATAAAAACTACACAAACATACAACTCCATCAATACAGAAATTCCTGGACCTGTCACCAACACACTCCACCAAATCAGACCCCGAAAAACACCCTCTGATATCAAGATAATGCAGATAAATATAAATGGACTCACAAACAAAATAGAAGACCTCAAACTAACCACAAAACAACATGACATCGACATCATGTCATGTTGTTTTGTGTCGATGTCATCAAAACATGACATCGACATCATCACAATCCAAGAATCCAAACTTAAACCAACGACTCGCACTCAACAAGCCCTGCACCCTACACAGTATATAAATTGTTATTTATAGAGAAATATACTAAGCCATCACGCATACCCACTACAAGAGAACTATTGAATTGAATCAATAATAATTAATAATAATAATAATTGAATAATAACAGAACTATTGAATACGCACTACAATAGAACAGCAACCGACGTCTCCCTCACAAGCTCCCTGATTATGAGGGACACTGACCTGCAGCTCCCTGATTATGAGGGACACTGACCTGCAGCTCCCTGATTATGAGGCACACTGACCTGCAGCTCCCTGATTATGAGGNGCATTTAACCTTCCAAGTCCCAATTTCTGTTGTGGAAAGGAGCTGAGGTATGCATGGTGCACATGGGTTATGTTCTGTCTCTTATACACATCTAGATGTGTATAAGAGACACCTGCAGGACGACCTGCGCCTGGGACACCAGGTCCTCGGGGACGTACTGCACCGGCAGCACCGCAGCACTGCTGCTGCCCCCCAGCAGCACGCTGCCTGCTCCTGCACACAGCAATAGCCAATGTACAATGTCCAGTATATCCAATGATGTCCAATAATATCCAGTCCTATAAACTATACGAATACATCCAGCAATGTCCAATTTATCCAGTAATATCCAATATATTCAATATATCCAGTAATATCCAATATATCCAGCAATATCCAATATAACCAGTACTATAAACTGTACGATTATATCCAGTAATATCCAATATATCCAGTAATATCCAATATATCCAGTATATCCAGCAACAGACCAGGTCTGAGGGCGCTGGCGCCACTGGAGGGCGTGCGGACGAGGCGGCGCCCACCGCCGCCCCCCGACGCCCGGCCGGAGAGCTTAGAGGACCCACCGCCCCCACCACCGCNATGGCTAGACATGATGGGGCATGAGTGGCTGTGGGGCATGGCTAGACATGATGGGGCATGAGTGGCTGTGGGGCATGGCTAGACATGATGGGGCATGAGTGGCTGTGGGGCATGGCTAGACATGATGGGGCATGAGTGGCTGTGGGGCATGGCTAGACATGATGGGGCATGAGTGGCTGTGGGGCATGGCTAGACATGATGGGGCATGAGTGGCTGTGGGGCATGGCTAGACATGATGGGGCATGAGTGGCTGTGGGGCATGGCTAGACATGATGGGGCATGAGTGGCTGTGGGGCATGGCTAGACATGATGGGGCATGAGTGGCTGTGGGGCATGGCTAGACATGATGGGGCATGAGTGGCTGTGGGGCATGGCTAGACATGATGGGGCATGAGTGGCTGTGGGGCATGGCTAGACATGATGGGGCATGAGTGGCTGTGGGGCATGGCTAGACATGATGGGGCATGAGTGGCTGTGGGGCATGGCTAGACATGATGGGGCATGAGTGGCTGTGGGGCATGGCTAGACATGATGGGGCATGAGTGGCTGTGGGGCATGGCTAGACATGATGGGGCATGAGTGGCTGTAGGGCATGGCTAGACATGATGGGGCAGGAGTGGCTGTAGGGCATGGCTAGACATGATGGGGCAGGAGTGGCTGTGGGGCATGGCTAGACATGATGGGGCATGAGTGGCTATGGGGCATGGCTAGACATGATGGGCATGAGTGGCTGTGGGGCATGGCTAGACATGATGGGACATGAGTGGCTATGGGGCATGGCTAGACATGATGGGGCATGAGATGGCTGTGGGGCATGGCTAGACATGATGGGGCATGAGATGGCTGTGGGGCATGGCTGGACATGGGGCATGCCATGCATATGGCTACTCAAGATGGACAATTTAAACTCATATGTATGACCCCTGAAAATATACAGTACAATATAATAAATCTATAAAATATACAATACAATATAATATGAATATAAAATATACAATACAATATAATATGTATATAAAATAACCAGTACAATTGATCACTGTAACTACCAATTACTGCTGATCAACCAGTTAATTAGAGCAGATCAAAGTAATAATCAATATTAATCATAGACTGATATATATTGACTGATATTTAATCATAGAGTGATATATATAAATCATATATCATAGACTGATATATAGACTGCAGGCATAGTCTAACATATATTATCCACCTGCTTGATGGGCTCCTTGAGAGCGGCTATGGCAGAGACGCCCCGGCTGCTGGCCGCTGCAGCGCCTCCTGCGCTGTTGAGGCGACTGCCAAGCTCCTTGATCCTGCAGGATGTATTGTATTAGTATATTATATTATATATTCATTACATACAGTATATTATATTATATATTTATTACATATATTATATTATATATTCATTACACATATTATATTATATATTCATTACACATATTATATTTTAAACCTATGCTGTCAAGAATTACCCCAGCAAGGTAAGCTAACAATTAGTTTACCCCATGTCTCACCCTCAAATAGGTTGAGCCATAACATACAAGGGACCATTTCAGGGCAATAAAATGGTATCTTTGCACCAATATCAAAATAACTACAATCTTAATGAGCCAAAAAATTTTGTATCAAGTTTTAAGCTATGTTAAGCTATGATAGGTTTACCCTTAAAAGGGTAAACCATAATATAGAGGCAGGGTAATAAAATGGTATGTTTATACAAATTTATCCTTAACTTCACAGTCATGTTAGTCAATGTCCATTCTCTGCATAATCGTAAACACCTTAGTCAGGTCTGACCATTGGTCAGCAGCAATACCAAAAAAAATATAGATCCTAGTTATTTATGGGGAAATATGATGAGCCATTTATAAAGGCAGGGCAATAAAATAGTATTTTTGTATTGAGTTATCCCTAACTTTACAGAATATAAATTAATATTAAGAGATAAATATAATATACTTTCCACATCTGATAGGGCATTCAAAGTCAGCAATTGGCAAGCCTAACTAGTGTCTAAATTAAGAAGAGTTAATTTATCACTTTTCCTTTTCAAGTTAGAGCTTTTCCTTTTATATATAGCTGCTATTTTATACCTGATCAAGCTACCAGGCTGGATTATTTAAAAAAAATATAACTCAGTACTCACTGCAGTGAGTGACAGAGAGCGCATTTTCTCAAAATCGACAAAAATGTGAAGTCACAGACAGACGGACGGACAGACGGACGGACAGACGGAAATGATGAGCACAATAGCGCCTTTTTAGCGCATTTTCTCATTTATGGAAAAATGCACTATTGTGCTCGCCATGTCCGTCCGTCCGTCTGTCTGTCCGTCTGTGACCTCAAGTTTTCGTCGACGAGAAAATGCGCTCTCAGTCACTGCAGTGAGTACAGAGTTATATTTTTTTCCATAAATGATAAAATGGGCTAATAACATCATAATTAGAATTCCAACAAGTGCATATAGTGCGGTAAACATCCACCTCAGAGGCCACAACCTGGTTCTTGAAGCCACAAGTTTATTGAAAAATCATGATATTGAAAAATTGAAATCATGAAATTTAAAATTTCATGATATAAGTTAGCTTTAAAGCTTTGAACTTATCTTTCAAACCACTTATTATACATTGAATATCATTATACACTGACAGAAAAAACTGTGAAAAAACGGTCCCACTGGCTTTCTAGTGGCTGGTCGCCCCGTGATAATAAACTGTTTTGCCGTTTTTATCAGATGTTTTACAGATTTCTACTGTTAAATTAGAATAAAAACGGCGACATGGTGTTTCTTTTCACGTGCCGACCGGCCACTGAAACGCCGGTAATACCGTTTATGGTAATTTTTGTAACAGTGTATCCCAGTAAGTCCCATAAACATTTTTCTTCATGTAAGACACAATTTATCATGTGGTCATATACAGCATTAATCATGTTGTACCAATGCTACATGACATGACCATAAATAAACTACCAATATGTCAACAGAAACCTTTTACATTAAAGAAATTTACTATGGAAATGATACTCAATTGAACAGTTACAAATTTTCTGATAACATATCAACAGGCTCTAATATTTCCAAAAAAAAATAAAAATATCTCTACAGGGTGCATACCAGTCATGGAAAACCAGTAAAGTTATATACAAGTCTGGAAAATTGCAAGTCATATACGAGTTACTCGTACACCACTTTCAAATACATGTTTTATTGCATTTTATTCAAATATTGAATTTTCTGAATTCTTTATTTAAAATATATTGTAAATGATGATAATATTTTGTCGCATTTGCAGGTTCCATCAGTTACTTCTATGTTTGTATGCGAGTCTGGAAAATTACGAGTTGTATACGAGTCACTCGTACACGACTTGCAATTTTCCAGACTCGTATAAGACCGGTACGCCTTCTTGTACGAGTCATAAGAACATTTTTAATGTTTGGTCCTTGCATACAAAGACCAAACTGTGAAATAAACCAGAAGATGTGCACAAATGAGACAAAAAGTCCATAGTGGCAGGAGAGATTTTTTTAGACTCTTGTTAAGTTAATTTTTGAGTCCTGTAAGTAGACCAGTAAAGAATCAAGGAGACCAGCATTATCTTGTATATATATATATATATAGATTTAAATCTAGGTTTAAAAATTTAGGTTAAACATAGGTTTGAATCTAGGTTATAAAATATAGGTTAAATATAGGTTTAAATCTAGGTTTCAAAAAATTTTTGGTTAACTGTAGGTTTAAATCTAGGTTTTATATATAGGTTTAAATCTAGGTTTTACATCTAGGTTTTACATCTAGGTTTTAAATCTTGGTTTTAAATCTTGGTTTTAAATCTTGGTTTTAAATCTTGGTTTTAAATCTTGGTTTTAAATCTTGGTTTTAAATCTTGGTTTTGAATTTAGGTTATAAAAATTTAGGTTACATATAGGTTTAAACCTAGAGTAAATGAGGAAAATGAAAATAAACTGATTCTTAAAAATGTCTAGTTTGCCACCATGATCCTGAGCTCAAAGACTATTTCATCTGCTCCTATGGCATCAGCCTCATTACTAAGATGAAAATTTAGAAAAACAACACATTTTTATCTTAAATTTAATTTAAATGTGTTAAATTAAATTTAAACATTTAAAATTTAAATTTTATCTTAAATTTAAATAAGCATTGAATTATTATTTATTTCAGTATTTCTAAAATAAGCAGTAAATTATTATTCATTTCAGTAAAGTCTTGGAAAATTCTGCCCAAAATTTCCAGATTAACCTCACGAGTTCTAAGATTTTGGATCCAATTTAAAATTATTTTTTGATTTAGAAGCACAATCTGGATAATATTTGACAGATAATTAGATAATATTAGATAATATTAAATTAGATAATATTAGATAATATTAAATTAGATAATATTAGATTATATTAGGCTTTAATGATATTCATACCAGGGTTGAAAATAATATTACACTGTAGAAGGTTACAATACTGCTCAGAATTCTTGCTGATAATTGTAGGTAAAAGTGATTCTTTTCTGACAATTTTGAAATTTTTTTAAAATTTTTCAAAATTTTCAGACAATTTTGAAAAATGTGTAAAATTTTTCAAAATTTTCAGACAATTTTGAAAAATTTGAAAAATTGTTCAAAATTGTAAAAAAATTGTAAAAAATTTTAAAATAAATTTTAGACAAAAAGGTGCCTTCATTTTTTCAATGCAAATCAAACAGCAGGTAGAGGCACAGGTAGAATTATCTTTCTTTCTAATTTATTCTTATTATTATTATTCTAATTATTATTCTAATTCTT